GATATAAAGAGAAAGTAGGCGAAGTCAGGGACACTATGTACCTGCAGCAGGAGACAAACACACTGAAACCTTGCTGGTAAGCCACAGATTAATATAAATGGGTTAATTTAAGATATAAGAGCTAGCTAGAAAGATGCTTAAGCTATTGGCCAAACAGTACTACAAATAATATGGTTTCTGTGCTTATTTCAGGTCTGGACATCTGGGAATAAACGAGCAGCCTCCCCCAACAAGCCTGGTCCTCCCTGATCAGCACAGCAGTTGTCTACTTTGCTCCACACAAACAGTTGCTTTTCAATGTCCTAATCTTTGATTCCAAATAGAGTAAAAGGGAAACAATTCAATGTTATTCCCTTAAAACTCCTAAAAATTATATCAAAATGGACAAAAAAAATGGTAGCTGGCCTGTGCTTATATCCCAATGACCAAAAGAAATAACCAAGGCTCTGGGTTTAACCCCCAACTTTGGGAGGGGGGGAGAATAAAAGAAGAGTTAGCTAAAGCATTCATTCTGTGGCTGCTCAGCTCTGATACATCCTTGTGACCATGATGCACTGAAAACTCTGAAACCATGAGTCAAGATAAGTCTTTCTGCTGGCTAGTGGTGGCACTTGCCTTAAATTCCAGCAGAGTCAGGCGAATCTCAGAGTTCAAGGCCAGCCTGATCTATAGAGTGACTTCCAGGACAGCTGGGGCATGGGGTGGGGAGAGACAACTAGAGTTATTAGCATGTATGTTTAAACCATTACATACATTAATTACAAAGTACACATTGTTCTCAAGTCTATTTGCAAGAGTGACCAAGAGAGAAATGTTAGACCAACATACAAGTCCTAGTGGATTTTACAAGTTCATAAAGGATCTTTGTTGTGGAATATTATTTTAAGACATGTTACATTTGTTTATGCTATGGAACATTTGTATAATGATGCAAAGATGTGCTGCATTCTTTTAATTGCATTTGTTTAACTCTGTGAAGCTGTATTACTATGTCTGTTACTGTGACACTTGATTGATCTTGATTGGTCTAATAAACAGCTAAATGGACAATAGCAAAGCAGAAGAAAGGATAGATGGGGCTGGCAGGCAGAGAGAATAAATAAAAGGAGAACAATAGAGGAAGGAGGAGCAAGAAAAGAAGGGGTGAGCCTCACAGCCAGCCAGGGATGGGGTGTAAAAGTGAAAATAAGATTACAGAAGTAAGAAAAAAAAAAGGCCCAGAGGTAAAAGGTAGATGGGTAATCTAAGTTAAGAAAAACTGGCTAGAAAGAAGTCAAGCAAAGGCCGGGCATTTATAAGCAAGAACAAGTGTGTGTGTGTGAGTGTGTATGTGTGTGTGTGTGAGTGTGTATGTGTGTGTGTGTGTGTGTTTTTATTTGGGAGCTGCATGACAGGCTCTCATAGAGCAAAGAGCCAAAAGAGTAATAAAACAACAAACTACAGATTTCCTGTCAATATAACAGAATAAAGTTAGACATCAACAAGAAGAGGAAAACTAGAATCATTATAAACATATAGAAACAATACCAATGAGTGAGAAAAGAAAATCAAAGGGAATTATAAAATACTTAGAAATAAACAAACATAATGTGTATATTAATTTTATAAGCTGTAATTGTGACAAGCATCAGAAGGAAATTTAATTTTAAGTTTATATTTAAAATAGACCTCAGAGGTGGGTGCAAAAGAATAGATGGTGCATACTTGTAATCCCAGTACTTGAAAGGTAGAGGTAAGAGGATAACAAATTCAGGGCCAATCTCTGTCTAAATAGTGAGATCAATGCCAATTTAGGATAAACCCGGTTTCAAAATTCAAAAACACAACAAAAGAAACAAACCAACAATAACAAAAAAAACCTCAGATCAAAAACCTAGACGTTATTCTTCAAAGATCTACAAAAAGGCATAATATGTAAAGCAAACTAGGTATGATCTTTAATCCTAGCACTTGGCAGTCAGAGGAGGATCTCTATGGGTTTGAGGCTAGTCTGGTTTACACAGGGAGTTCTAGGACAACCAGGCCCACAAAGAGAGATCCTGTATCATAACAAACAAACTAAACTAAACTAAGCAAAGAAGCAAAGCTAACACAAAAATTAAAAAATTAAAGATTAAATAAGAGACAAAGCAGTTAAAAAAGCAAAAAAAAAATCAAAAAAAATTATTAAGAAAAAACCAACAAAATTGACAGTCAGAATAATTAGAATAGAGACAATACACAAATAACTGTAACATGAAATAAAACCAGGGATATATTACTATTAACATTATAATTTTTAAAATGAGTATTGTAATAACTACATGTCAAAAATTAGGGAGCAAAAAAGAAAAGGACACATCACTTGAAATAAATAAATGAACTAAACTGGTTCAAGAGAAAACCTCAATAACCCTATACCAAATAAATAGATTTATTTAGAAATCAAAATTTCCCAACAAGCAAAGTCTCACATTGTTCAGTCTCATCAATGAATTCTATTAAATGTTTTTTGTTTTGTTTTGTTTTTTTGTTTCAAAACAGGACTTCTCTGCGTAACATCCCTGGTTGTCGTGGAACTCACTCTGTAGACCAAGCTGGCCTTGAACTCAGAGATCTGCCTCCCTCTACCTAGGCTGGGATTAAAGGCATGTGCTGGCACTGCACGGCTCTATTAAATGTTTAAAGGAAGAATTAGCAGAGTTTTCCTGAAACTTTTACATTGAGGAATGAATGCTTCCTAATACATTCTATGAAGTCAGTATTACTGACACCAAAATCAGTCAAATGCATTATAGATAAATAAAAATATAGATCAGTATCACTGAAGACTTGATATAAAAATAATCAGCAAACTATGCATACATTAAACCCAAAAGCATATTAAAAGAATTTCACCATGACCAAGTAGGATTCAGCCTACTTCATGGACGCAAGGTGGTTCAACAAAAATCAATCAATGGAATAATACATTGATACAACAAAAGAATGGGCAGAAAATTCTTCAACATGGCAAAGGTGCTTATGAAAAACTCACAGTGAAACACATAATAATTCAAGGCATAAAAATATTCCTCTTAACATCAGAAATAAAACAAGGACGCCCACTTTTACTTTACTCTTACTACTCCTGTTCAACATTGTACTAATAATAATACCTAGAACTATTAGACAAGAAAAAGAAAAAACATCCTGTTGGAAATGTAAAATGATCTTTGTTCATAGATTACACCAATCTATAGTAGAAAATCAAAAGAGGTCACAAGAGAACGACCAGAATAAGTGAACTGCAACAGTTATACCAACACATGAAAAAAAAAAATCAGTGTTTTTTTAAAATTATTTTTGGACACTAGCAGTAAGAAATATGAAAAAAAAATTAAATAAGCAAATCAAATAAAAATGTGTGAATAAAACCAGGCAGTGGTGGTGCACACTTTGAAACCAGCACTCGGGAGGCGGACACAAGGGGATCTCTGTGATTTTGAGGGCATCCTTGTCTACAGAGTGAGTTCTAGGGCACCCAGGGTTACATAGAGAACCCTGTCTCGGAAAACAACAACAACAACAACCAAAAAGTGTGAATGAACAAATAATGTCGAAAACTAATTGTTGAAAGAAATTAATAAAGAGTTAAAGAAAAGAAGCATCTTGTGTTTATGTACGGGTAGACATCAAAATCTTAACACTGTCCAATGCAACCTACATATTCCATAAAACTCCATTTCCAAAAGCCTTTTTCCAAGTAAAGGTAAAGTCAGTCCTCAAGTCAATACAAAAATAGGGATAGATATGTAGCTCAGTAGTACAGTATTTGTGTAGTACCAAGAAAGACCTTGGTTCAATCCCTGATACCAAATTCAAATGGAGGTGCCAAATATCTTGAAGAACCAAAACAGTCTTAAAGAAAGATGAATAATAAATGCAAAAAATTGCCTGCAAAGCAGTATGGTACTAATATGAATAATGATATAGATCACTGTACTCTTCACAGCTCGGCAAAAAACTCTCATAAGCTAATTGATTTTCAACAAGTACACTCAATGGCGAAAGGTTTTTAACACGTTACAAAAAGTGGATATCCACAAAAGAATAGAAAGTGGTAAAGCGGGAATAGCTAGTAGTGGTTACACAACATTGCACAAGGCCACTTAACTTTAGGTTGGCAAATGATTAAAATGACAATTATTTTGTTTTTTACATAATAACGCCCCCAAAGGGTAAATAAAATAAATGAAGATAACGCAGCAAACAAATGGACTGGCAAAGCAAAGGGGATTCAGAAAGATATTCAAATTTTCTCATCGGGAAGAGTACGTGGATGATTCCTTTCAACAATCAATAGCTGGGTAGGCTATTCAAACAGGCACATTAAAACATTGGACAATCAACACTAAATTTATCTAGATGGTTGGCTCTGGTTTTCAGGCTAACGAGAGATCTGTGAACCTCCAGGGTAACCGAAGCTATGGAAGGCAAGAGACTGGCCCGGAACACATAAGAAAGAGTCCCTAAGAAACACCAGTATCCACAAGGGAGGGGAACCAACAGCTTTAGGCGTTCCAGGCTCCCACGCGGCGAGTCCACATCCCAGGGCGGGAGGGACTTACCACGGCTTGTGCGCAGACAGGCTGTTCAGGCCCATGCAGGAGGCGGACGGTGTAAGCCCTGCGTGACGACAGCCACCGAGAACAGAGCTGGGACTTCGCATCCCATGGAAGACCCGAAGCTGCAGAACGAACCGAACAGACAGACAGACACCCCGCAGGCGAAGCCGACTCCGCAGCCTTGGCCTACGCCACGCCCACAACGCGGGAAGTCCCTCTCAGGGGCTCGTCGTCCTCCGAGCATTCCGATTGGCGGAGATGACCATGGGACCTGGAAGTTGTCTTTGTCCGGCCAGGGCTGCCCTTCCGGTTCCGTTGGGTCCCCCTTTGGCTCAGGTTGCCTGCCCCTCCCCCTTCCCGGAGCCCCGAGGGGCCGGAGCTCCAGACAGAGCCAGTTCCAGATGGCGGCCTTCCCCTCGGGTCTGTAAGTTCGGAGGCGAACAGAGAGCCGGGCTGGGGGTGCGGATCTCTGGAAATGGAGCCCCTGTTGGGGATCTGGTTTGGTCGTGATCTGCCCTGGGATGCGAGTCGAGGTGCTGGTCTAGGCCCCGGGGGACTTAAGCCTTGGACCGGCCCATGATGCATCCCACGCTCTTCCACTTAGCGAATCTGCAGTGGGGAGTCTCAGGATGCCCCAGGGACCGCCTCCTGGGACCCTCTACCTAGGGCCCTGTAACTGGCCAGGACCCCAGACTCTGGCATTTTGTAAAAAGTGCTGGACTTGAGGCCAGCAGAAAACTGAACCGCGGGGAGCTAGCCAAGGCAAGGCCTTCAGTGCCGACTGCGAGACTGCTGTAAGTGCCAGACTTTGAGGGGTTTTGCCCTTGCTCAGCCGCTGGCTACAGCACCTTTTGTATTACTGGCGCTATGCCAAACATTGGAGGGTCATCACATATCTAGTATTCATACTCGTTTGGAAACGATATATGAACAAATTGATGCTCGTATCCGGGTCGGGGTATGCAATTGGTTACTTATATTAGCTGCTCTAGGGACAGTTGCGGGAAACCGGTAGAAAGTGGCCTCTAAATTCTACTTCGTGGAAGTACTTTTGCGGCAAAAGGGAAAGTTTTAGTACTACTGCGACGTAATAGAGTGTGTGTGAAAAGAAAAAGGAATAGAAGTAGGGGAGGTTGTGTGCATAAGATGGAATTTGAACCCGATAAGTGAAATGAAGCCCAGATAGTGAAAGGTTTAATTGATAATAAAAGGAGATGAATTTTTTTTTAAACTCTCTGAGCAGAAAACTGATATGGTCGTATTTGTACCACAGAAAGTCATTTTTTCTGGGAAGCCGGTTGAAAAGAAACTAGCTGAATCTGGGTTCTCTTAGCTAGAATACACTTCTGTTGGTGATTATTTTGAAAAATTATTGAGTTCATCCTGGTGAGATGCAATAAAATCTAAAATAGAGAAAAAAGTGCTAATGTAGATAATCATACGTTGAAGGAAGAAAAAACCCTAAGTATTAGGCACTTGACATTTAAAAAATGGTGATGCCATAATCAGAAATAAAACCATAAGGCTGGCAAGAAATACAAATTTATTTTCTGTTTATGTTGAGTTCTGTCTAAAGGGTTAACCACATATAACTGTCCAGCTTAAGAGTTGGGAATACAAATCTGGAGATCAGCCAAAATATTGGGGCTACAGGTAAAATGTTTGAAAATTGGCATGTCGGCAGACACCATGAGAAAAGTTGGCATCAAGGACTGAGCAATGAAAAAAGGTGATTTGAAGGATGATGGTTATAGATGAAACAGAAAAGCAAATTAGAGCCCACAGAGAGAGGTAGAAAAACAAACCCAAGAACACCGGGTAGACACAACTATGGTGCCCTGCTATGAGGAGAGAATTTTGAAGAGAGTCCACTGGATGGTGCTCAGCTACTGGGGAATGAGAAAGAAAAAAGAAAGTATCTTTTCTATTAGCAGGCCATCAGTGACCTGGTAAAAATTAATTTTAGTAGATGAGGTAATGCAATATAAAATACCAGAGTCCTCAATTGGGAAAAAAAGAAGGATTTCACAAAGAAAACTGACAGACTTTATTTGTTTATTTATTCAACATTTTTTTTAAATTTTTATTTTGGTTTTTGGAGACAGGGTTTCTCTGTGTAGCTTTGGAACCTGTCCTGGCACTCCTGCTATAGACCAGGCTGGCCTTAAACTCACAGAGCTCTGCCTGACTCTGCCTCCCAAGTCCTGGGATTAAAGGGGTGTGTTACCACTGCCTGGCTACTCAACACATGTTTAAAGAGCACACAACAGACACCATCCTAAGCTCTTTTGAAAATGGACTAATGGGCTGGAGAAATGAGTTGCTTGTTCAATTCTCAGGACTGACATGCTTCACAACCGTCCATAACTCCAGTTCCGGGGAATCTGATACCTTCTTACCTCCACTGACACCATGCAAACTAGGCACATACATTCAGACAGAACGTTCTTTAATTATGAGCTTATTTAATTTCCCTTAGCAGTCTCATAAAGTAATTTACTATTGGTTGACAAGAAAACTGAAACAGACTGAATAAGTAATTCACCCATGGCCATATAGCTAGTAATGAATTTTTTTTTTTTTATTTTTTGTCGTGGGGGGTGGTTCAAGACAGGGTTTCTCTGTAGCTTTGGAGCCTGTACTGGAACTGGATTTCGGAGTCCTATATAGTCATATATGGTGACTATATAGGAGTCAAGGAGTAGAAACATTGTAAGGAAAGATAGGCTTATTGGTTAAGAGAGACCTATAAGGATAGCAAAGTTGAAAGTGGTAAGTGATAAGTTTATATTATATTGTATATATGCTTTTTTTTCTTTTGTCCTAGGGTCCTCTTCTACTCTATGCTAACTTAAGTATTTATTTCTTTTACTCCAATGTAAAGTTTCATTTACAATTTATTTACGATTTATACTGAGGTTTATTTTATAGCATCAGGCCTGTTTCTAACCAGATTACTAGATTTTACTCTGGTGCCTCAAAGGCCCCCGTGCACATTTTAATGACCAGCCTTAGGATTGTCCCTTTAGTGTTCAATAGATTACTAAATGACACTCAAATATATCCAGACACTTGTGCCAAAATATTTAGTTATCTTGATAATTTTCTCTGTTCTCTATCATGATAGCAAGATCATTGTTTTGAGCATTGTTTGTTTTAGATTATTTTAAAATTTTCTCCCTATAGTCATAATCCCATCATTTCTGTCTTGATGTGTTAAAATAATGGCATTGCAAAAGTTTGTCCACTGAGTCATTCCCTATATATTTTTATCTTCAAATTTCTTAATTTTGGATAGTGCAAGAGTATAAACATCTTCATTGTAAACATTAAGTACTTAGAGTAGGTATTTTCAAGTATGTTAAGTTGAAATTAAACTTGATTAAATTTAGTAATGAGGTTAGGAGCAGGAATTCTTACTGTAGGGAAGAAATAAAACTGAGAAAACAGATAGTTTTTTCTGTGGAATTAAATCTTGACAAAGCACAGCAACAGACCAAAAATAGAGCTTAAAAGAAATCCCACACTAGCTCAGAATTGAGACTAATAGAGGATTATTTATTTAGGGTTAGATTCTCAAATCAATATCCTCTGCTGGAATGGAGAACAGCAACTGAATCCCACAGCCGGAAAAGAGGCCAGCCCACTTCCTCCAACATTTTTTACTGAAATATAACTAAAATACAAAAGTCTACAGATCATGGTGTAGTGCTTCATAGATTTCCTTGGTAATTCCCAATATGAGAATGAAAATCTGAATTATTACAGTTCAGACAAATCCTTAAACTAAGCTGTGCTTATCCGTTTATTTTCTGTGTTCATTCATAGCTTGAGTGCAAATTTCAGCTCTAACAATTAGCCATTTCATCTCTATTAATTTCAGCATATTATTTATGTTCTCTCCGCTTCATTTTTTATAGTCAAACAGGAGTAGTAATAACCTAACAGTAGAGACTTTCAGAACTAAATGAATTAATTTAGATAAAGCCTTTAGCAGTATATTTGAAATGTGATAAGAATTTAGAAGACATAAGGTATTATTTTGTAAAAGGAATGAATCCTGTTAGGTGATTTTTTTTTATATACATACACATACATGCATGTATGTATGTATGCATGTGTATGTATATATACATATTACCGCAAGATAGAGTTTCTTTGCACAGCCTTGGCTGTCCTGGAACTCACTCTGTAGACCAGGCTGGCCTCAAACTCACAAAGATATGCCTGCCTTTGCCTCCTGAGTACTAGGATTAAAGGTGTGTGTCAACCCCCAAAAACTACCACTGCAGATTACTATAATTTTATATTAACTTGGTTGTCTGTGCATATACATTTACTTTTATATCACCTATTTGCTCATGTACATGTGGTGCTGGGATTAAACCTAGAATTCCATTTCTACTAAGTACACATTCTACTACTGAGCAATCAATTATTGCAACGAATTTTTTTCTATTTTAAAAAAAGGTATTGCAAATTTGGGTCTACATAATCTAAAGAGTTCTTCGAGTCCTCAAAATATGATATTAGGGCTGGAGAGATGGCTCAGCAGTTAAGAGCACTGGCTGTTCTTCCAGAGGTGGTGAGTTCAATTCCCAGCAACCACATGGTGGCTCAAAACTATCTATAATGAGATCTGGTGCCCTCTTCTGGTCTGTAGTCATAATACAGGCAGAACACTGTATACATAATAAAATCTTCAAAAAAACCAAACAAACAGGATATCATGGTATTAAAAAATTCATCTCTTATAGGTAAATAATAATTTCACAGCAAATATCGAGGAGTTACTATAGTGCTGTGTTTTGTTTAATGAGCAGTGTAAAGTGAAATAAACAGTTGGTTTGTGTCCTCAAATAACTAACAACCTATTGGCAAAGTGGACTAATGACAGAAAATAGCTAATGATGAAAGTATATGACCTGGGAATAGATTATTAAATGGATAATTGGGCTGATAGATATTAGGAAAAAACTTCCTAAAGTAAACAATAGACTTCCTGAATTTTCTTGGACTGCAGCAGGAAGATCAAAGCACGGTTTTGTTTGTTTGTTTGTTTGTTTTGAGACACCTGTTTGACTATTCTGTTGAGAACTCATGAGTCGGATTAAATGAAACCATACTCGGGCTCCTCTGTAGAGAAACAAGGAACAAGTTTCCCAAAAGACATTTAAAACATTCTGAGTACTGCTATACTCTAGCTGGAAACAATTAATTTGTTTTTTTACTATGACTAGGAAAATACTGCTTTAGTGAATTCAAGACCAGCTCAACTCTAAAAAGACAATGCCACTTTTGTTTAGCCACTTGAAACAATGGTCATTTTTATAACTTCTGGTTAAATGGGAACATTCACTGTTCCAGTTACAGAATGAAATTTTTAAACTACTGCCACTGAAACTGACCAGTGATAATAGTTTGTTTGCTTCCAAATACTGATAAAATTCCCTGTTTTCTAGATTTCCCCTTGTTTTTTGAAGCTCATTGATTTCTCTGCTGCATTCGTTTCTCTGCATTCCTCTTCTCCAATGCAGTTCCTTTATTGCCATTATTTATTATCCCCACTTTGAGAATGCCATCCCGGAGAAAACCTTACCAGTTTGTGATTATTAACATACATGTGACATATCCTCCTAAATGAGTACCCTTTCTGTGACATTCAGCTAAACTCTTGAGATTTAGAATTTTTTGAGATAGGATCTCACTGTGTAGCTCAGCCTAGCCAGGCTCTTGCACTCTACCTACCTTAGGTTCTGAGTACTGAGTGTGCCATTGGGCTTTTCGTTTGGTTTTGGTTTTCCTTCTTCTTTCTTTTTTTATTCTCATTATCAGTTATCAAGTTCTCTGAAATACCTTTTACTATTTTTTTGCTTGTTTCTTATTTCCATTTTCATTCCTTTATAGGTCCTTGTGGCCTCACTCATGGAAGACCTGGTCTACTTAACAAAATTCTTTTTATGGTGAGACTAATGCTGTAGGTTTCACTGCTGCACACCAAGCCCTTCCTGTGTATTTGATATGGTGTGGGTGATAGCAGTGTGCACCAGTTTGAACAGAGGAGAGTTTGGTCAACAGTGGAAGAAGCAGGGTGACTGCAGTAAGAATTTGAAGTGAAAGCAGACTGTTTCCAGCTTTGGTCCCATGACATAATAAGATGTATATGTTGCTGCCTAATGCCAGGGAATTTATGTTTGAACAGGAAGGAATTATTTGATAAAGCATTTTTGAGTGTTATGTAGAAGTACTGTGCTCAGGGCCCTAGAGACAACTCTTTTGCTCTAATTGTTTGGAAAAGTGCCTGTCAGGAAACAGCACTAGACTGGCTAGAATGCAGTGTTCTAGATTAGTGCAATGTGTGTGATAAGCTTCAAGCAAATAGATGATACATTATCTACCAAGCACTGAGAAATAACAAACACCTGAACTCTGTCATCAGGAGCTGACACTTTGAAATAATAAGGTTATGAATTTTAGGCTTCAGAATTTAGATGTGATGCCTGACTTGGTGGTGCACATCTTTGATTCTAGCACTTAGGAGGCAGAGGCAGGCGGATCTCTGAGTTCTAGGCCAGCCTGATCTACAAAGAAAGTTCCAGGACAGCTGGGGCTACACAGAGAGGCCCTATCTCAAAAACAAACAAAACAAAGCAAAAGACAAAATCTTGATGTATTCAGGAAAATCTGGGTGTCTCATTTTGACTATCAAGTAAATGGCTGTTGAGTACACAGGATTCAAGCTGGATTTCCTAACCTGCTGAGATTATAGAACTGCTTTTGAAAGACAGAAGGGACATTCTTACTGACCTGATAGAAGACTGGTTTCTTAAAAGAGAATACCAGAGCCACATGGTGGTGGTACACACCTTTAATCCTAGCTCTCTGGAGGCAGAGATTGGTGGGTCTCTGTGAGGTCAAGGCCAGCCTGGTCTACAGAGCAAGTTCCAGGACAGGCTCCAAAGCTGCACAGAGAAACCCTGTCTTGAAAAACCAAATAAATAAATAAATGAATAAAAATTTAAAAAAGAAAGAAAAGGAAAGGAAACAATATTAGTTATTTTTGTGATTAGTTAGTAGACTGGATTATGGTATTGATGTGGCTAATTCATCCTTCCCTTTTAGAAATATACATGAGAAGCCAAGTTATGAGAAGACCTGGAAAGAATGCAATCAGAACATGACGACTTTCTCAGGAAAGATTTGTCATATAAACAGAACAATATGCAGAATTAGTTTCATTTGCTTATTTTTAACAGTGTTGTGGCTTGAGCCCAGCTTCACATAATGAGTAGGCAGATTATCTACTACTGAGCTATAGATATTCTGGATATTCTGAACCCTATGCAGGGAGTTTTGGCAAAGAAACCTTCTCTGTGATTGACTATGTTATACCATTATTTACCTTTATTAGTTTTAGTTAATTGACTTATAACCAAAAGGCTAACCTTCATCCAAGAGACATTGAGTAGAAATTTAAATGGGTTAGATATAACCTACTGTTTTTGAAATGTGGTATATATGTTGAGTTTCAGAGAAGAGGAGTTGGAATCCAAGGAAAACATTTAGGAATCAATTCTAGTAGTCCACATGAGAAATGATGTAAACATAGAGGTAAGAAGGAAAGAACAATCTAGTAAGTATTGAATCTGCACCTATTCTCACTCATACCCCCACTGATTGATTTATCTGATAGTGTTTTCTTCTCCTTACAAGAGAGTTTAGATTTATCTGTAATGCACAGGATAAAGAATTGTGTCTTTATCTGTGACTAAGCATTGTCTCTTTAAGTCTGTGACTTTTATCACAGGAATAGCTATATGAATAAATTCATACCAGTTTAAACAGAAAAGGAGGGTAGCAGTTCCCAGCAAACAGTGCCCCTGTAAATTCTAAAATAGAAAGAAAGGGATTAGGGAGATAGCTTAGTGGTTAAGAGCACTGGCTGCTTTTCAAGAGGACTCCATTTTGATTCCCAACATCCACATGGCAGCTGACAACCATCTGTAACTCAAGTTCCAGAGAATCTGACACTCTTCTGGTCTCTGTGGGGATCAGGCACACAGCTATGGATGCAGGCAAAACAAGAATAAAAATAAGAAACAAAAAAGGCATTTTGTTTTTGAAAAAGCAGGTACATCTTTCATGTAAAAGAAAATAATGTCTTCATTGTTAGTTGGGTTATGATGTTTTATTTTTAATAGGTAGAATTTTCATTTGAGACATGAAAAATAAATTTCTTGAACTAACTTGAGCATTGTTGTTGTGTTAAGTGTCTTGAAAAATTGAGTGAATGCCCAGTTATTTACATTTCTATGTGTCTACTTATCGGGAACAGTTAGCACCTGATACTGGTCAAGAAGAATTATCAACGACCTTTGAGAGCTGTTATTATAGCTTTTTGGATACATACAAAACAGACATGACAACACATTTGGTTTTGAAAGGTAAATCCAGGTTTCTAAATTGTTTAAATTTTCTTAAATTCCACCTTTTTTACATTTCTGTTCTTTAGGTCTGCCAAAATGTCTGAAAGATCAGATCTCCTTCACTTCAAGTTTGAAAATTATGGAGATTCAATGTTACAAAAAATGAACAAATTAAGAGAAGAGAATAAATTTTGTGATGTTACGGTTCTCATAGATGATGTTGAGGTGCAGGGGCATAAAATTGTTTTTGCTGCAGGTTCCCCCTTCTTAAGAGACCAGTTTTTACTGAATGATTCCCAAGAGGTGAAAATCTCCATATTACAAAGTTCTGAAGTGGGGAGACAATTGCTCTTATCGTGCTATAGTGGTGTGCTGGAATTCCCTGAGATGGAACTGGTAAATTACTTGACTGCTGCGAGTTTTCTTCAGATGAGCCACATTGTAGAACGGTGCACACAGGCGCTGTGGAAGTTTATAAAGCCAAAACAACCAATGGATAGTAAAGAGGGATGTGAACCACAAAGTGCTTCTTCCCAGTCGAAAGAACAGCAGGGAGATGCCAGAGGCTCTCCAAAACAGGACTTACCTTGTGTTCATCCATCTGAAGACAGTATGGATATGGAGGACAGTGATATTCAGATTGTTAAGGTAGAATCTATTGGGGATGTTTCAGAGGTTAGAAGTAAAAAAGATCAGAACCAGTACATTTCTTCTGAACCCACTGCTTTACATTCATCAGAACCTCAGCACTCTCTGATAAACTCAACTGTGGAAAACAGAGTAAGTGAACTAGACCAGAGCCATCTCCACAATTACGCCCTCTCTTACACAGGCAATGATGACCTCATCATGACCTCAAAAGATGTTTTTGGGCCTAATATTCGAGGTGTAGACAAAGGCTTACAGTGGCATCACCAATGCCCAAAGTGTACCAGGGTGTTCCGTCACCTGGAGAACTACGCCAACCATTTAAAAATGCACAAACTCTTTATGTGTCTACTCTGCGGCAAGACTTTCACTCAGAAAGGCAATCTTCATCGACACATGCGTGTACATGCCGGAATTAAACCTTTCCAGTGTAAAATCTGTGGGAAAACCTTTTCTCAGAAGTGTTCCTTACAGGACCATCTTAACCTTCACAGTGGAGATAAGCCCCATAAATGTAACTATTGTGACATGGTTTTTGCACATAAGCCAGTTTTGAGGAAACACCTTAAACAGCTGCATGGCAAAAACAGCTTTGATAATGCCAATGAGAGGAATGTGCAAGACCTCACTGTGGATTTTGATTCTTTCGCATGTACAACAGTCACAGACTCTAAAGGTTGTCAACCACAACCTGATGCAACACAGGTCCTGGATGCAGGTAAACTGACCCAAGCTGTCCTCAGCTTAAGGAGTGAGAGTACATGTGTAAGCTGAGGAGGGGCCTAGTACTCACAGGTAGAATTGACTAAGTCTTTTTAGACATGGTTTGGATAGTTTCTTCTCCAAAGCCTCCAAGCAGGTGGTCATGGGTAAGCAGCAGCAGACCAGGCAACTCCCACTTGCAGTGGCTTTGCTTTTCTTTAGCCCTCTCCCAACTCTTTTTTGAGTTATTTATTTTGTGATGTCTATTTTCCTTTTCTAAAAAATAATTCCATTTGTCTACCTAGTGTCAATACATGGCTTAGACTGACACTGTTCTAATCTTTTTACCGAGCACATCTGAAGGTACTAACAAATAACATCACCTACTTCCCACCAATAGATGCTGTACTTAGAAAAGTTCACACTTTTCGTTGAGGGAAATGAGGCTGGGATATGAGGTGATACTGCTGTTGACCTAAATATGTGATAGAGCCTCTGTCTACTGTGATTCGTCTAAGACTGATGAGTGAGTCTCTTTCCTACCATTTGTACTTTTGGGGGGGGGGCTGCTATGAAGAAGTATGTCTGTTTGTACTTTAAACACTAACACAGCCCACTGAATTGTTCTCATAACCCAGAATACAGTTCTTTCAGCAACATCTTCCCACTGTGGGGAGGATAATCAACAAATAATAGAAGTATAATAAAAGAACAGTGGGCACCTGGAAGGTTTCCTAAACAAGAGACCAGCAGTTGTTGATGCTCTTGTAATTGGAAGTGCTTTGGGCATATTTAAGTGAGCTAAAGAATAATGAATGGCCTCTATAGAAATAGATATATTGGAGTCTGACCTGTATATCAGAGTTTATTTGATAAGAAAGGTGAGTTTGGCCATCCCTTTTGTGCTGTTTACAGTATCTTCCAGTTTTCCTTTTTTCGTATACCTTCATCTTGAAAACATGAAAAAAAATTAAGTGGTATACAGAAGACAACCAGAATTTTTGCTTTTAGATAGTCTTAGAGTTACACTGTGTACTTTGCCACCTTTCATAGATGGTCTTGAAGGATGGAAAAAAACAATTCTTTATCCTAAAGTACATTTCAGACATAATTTTGAGTTTGTTTCTGACCAAAGGGTCACAGTAAGGTGTAGGATTGCCAGAGAACTTAGAAACTCTTACAAGATTGTTTATACTATCTCTGTCATTTTAAGTAGGAGCATTCAGAGTCAGCACTCACCAAAAAGAAAAAAAAAAGTACACCTGGCTAAATATGAATGAATGTTCCCATGCCTCTCTTCTGCTATACCTTGGCTTTAAAAGATGGTGAACAATAGTACATTAACAGAAAATTTCCAGTTTTGCTTCACTAATGTATATCCCTTTTGGCTTTTAGAGACAGCCTAGGATTTGCCAACAAAATGTTACAGAAGGACTTGTGATAATTACTTTTTTAAACTGATTTTATTTTGGTGACTTACGCAGTTGAAGCAGGAGGGTTGCTGTAAGTTAAAGGTCAGCCTGGACTAAGAACTAAATAAATGTAATTATTGTAGTGGTGCTGGGAGTCATCCCAGTATCTCATATGTGCTAGACAAGCACTGAACCTGCCACTGAACTACAATTCTAGCCTGTTATTTGTGTTCTAGATAAATGAATATTGTATTATTTCTAAATGAGTGGCTGGTTTAGGTATGAAGGGAAGGGCAAATTAGAATAATGTGAGATAGATTCAAATATGAAACTAAATTTATATGAGAAACTTTATTTCCACCAGACTTTTTTTTTGAGTTATGAGAGTACATGTACAGATAATTCAAAAGTTAAACTTAATTTATATATAGATGGCAAGAGGTGTTAATTTGTTATAATTTGATATATTTACACATGGCTCAGATTTGAGGCATAATTTCTACTAAATAAATAAGAATACGGTTGACTAATAAGACTTGTTGGTACTTTATGTTCAACATCACTCACTGTATAGTCTAATAGTGCTTTCTAGGATTCTGAATTTTAATGATTTTTCCAAAGAGCAACAATGGGATTCTACTATGTCATCTAATGTTTTGAATATTTTCTCTGAGTTTATTTTTTCATAGGAACATTTCAAAATAATGGGACTATACATGTTTTTTTTGGGGGGGGTCTGGTTGCTGTTAGTAGTCTGAAGACTAAAAACAGAATGGGTTCAAATAATACTGCCCTCTTATGTTGGAGGCAGTATCTTGATTTATTTCAGTCACTCAGAAGCCTTTTTTTCTTTCTTTTTTTTAAATGCTTGGGAGTTTGAACCCAAGACCTCAAACACACTGACCATGTTCTCTATCACTGAGCAACTCCCATAGCCTCAAGAGACATTAATAAGCAACTGGTATTTCCAGACACTATGTTAGATTCTGAGGATAGGAATTGATATATCCTTGTTGTAGGACTTACAGTGCCAAGTGATTTTAGTGAGACAAGGTCCCCAATTTATTTCATAACTAAGAATGGCTGCCCCCCCTTTTTTTTCGAGCATTTAAGGCAGTGGTTCTCAAACTGGGTCTCCAGCCCAATTTGGGTGTAGGGAGGTGTTGAATGACCCTTTCATAGGGATCACCCCAAGGCCATTGGAAAACACAGATTTATATTACGAGGAACTATATGGTTGAGAACCACTGATGTAATGTTAGTTTTCTTAAGTGTTTTCTGCTATTAAAATTTTCACTTCTCACTGTTTGCAAACCTCTTACCTAATTTATGGTCTCTTTCATTTCTTGCCTGGAGAGGTCTCATTTCTGCAAGACATTTCAGTTTGGTGGGACTAGGGTTCTTACACATTTCTCAGATTTAATTGCAAAGAGGTCAAGTTATTTTATGGTGGAAGAGGTTTAACACTAGTCATGATTATATGGGGTCAGGGTATAAATCTTAGTTACCCAGCATTTGGGTTTTTTGGTTTTTTTTGGGGGGGGCAGGATCTCACTATTGTACTCTTTGCTGTCTCAGCCTCCTGAGTGCTGGGCTCAATATTTGTGTTGTATGGATTCCCAGGAAAACTTCAAAAGGAAAAGGACTCTCTTTACTGCAGTTTGGTCTTTTAAAATTTGATGTTATTTATTTATTATTTAATATTAAAACGAGCTCCAAACTGAAGTGACTGTGAGGTAAAGCAGGTATGATTTTGCTTTAGAAGACTTGTGAAAGGTGACTAGTGTCACCATTTCTAAAATACTGTCTCAACAAACAACTCAGAACATTTCATTTCAGCTCATGAATGGCTGTTCTAAAATCTGTTGTATGTTAGACATACTTTGAACTACCTCTTTACTTAAAACGGGGACATTTCCTTAATAAAAGTGTGACAGTTAAACTGTGTGTCATTGACTTATTTTCTTACTGTCTTCCCTTCTTTCTCAGTTGCTTGGATTTAAATTCAAAAATGTTTTAATTTTTTGCTGTTGGTTTTGTTTTTCAAGATAGGGTTTCTGTGTAACATCTCTAGCTAACTGTCCTGGAACTCACTCTGTAGACCAGGCTAGCCTCAAACTCACAGAGACTCACCTGTCTCTGTCTCTTAAGTGCTGGAATTAAGGCATGTGCCATTACCGCCTGTTTTTATTCTTTAAAACATATCTTAAGGATGGTGAGGGGCTGAAAAATGCATGCAAAGACCCTGGGTTTGAGCCTTAGCACTAGAAATTTTTAGATTGCCTTTTGAAGAAAGTGTGGGTTAACTAGAAATAAGTTATTAGTAGAACCAGTTACTGCTTTATGAAGCTGCAGAGAATAAAGGACCCCAGTTTCAGTGCTGATATGTGTGACTCACTGGTGTAGAGTGCTGGCCTAGCATTCCAGGAGCCTGGGCTCTGGCAACAGGTACACAAAAAATCTTCACTCCGCTAATGCAAAGTTAGGTACATATTGTCCTAAGTAATCCCCTCCCTTGATGTAGCATATATTTCGATGTAGGTTGTAGGTTCAGTTTTGAAGAGAATTCATTTCCAACTGGATCCCAACTTCATTGAGGAGCAGTTTCGAGATTTCGGTATAAGCCAGTTTTGAAGGGTAAGTGGCAAAGCAGTGTTTTGCGTTCGCAAGGCCCAATGTGCAGTTCCCATCACCCAAAGGAAGAGAAAAATCCTTTCTGAACTGGGCGCATAGAAACATTCTTCATGACAGACTGTCCGAAGCTCCGAAGCAGGGTGAGGAGGGGAGGGTGGAAACGGTGGTGGAGTTGGACCCAGAGTTTGGGGCCAGCCCAAAACTTGAGCCACGAGGTCCTTTCCTTCGGCCCCGCTGCTCAGCTCGTCTGCGGTTCCGGCCTTGAGCGTTCTTCACTCGTTATAACTAGCTTCACAGTAGGGCGGGAACTGCCAGAAAAGACCGGCTCTCCGGTATTCTGACGTCTTTCTGTCGTTCCAGGAGCGGACAAAGTGAGGAAGAAAGAGCAGGTCAGGATGTCCTTCCGGGGCGTCTAGACTGTTTGGCACCGGAAGCGTTTCCTCTTGGGCTAAGGTCCATCTTCCGGCCTGGGCCGCCGTTGCTGCGGAAGCCTCGAAGCCTGTTTAGCTAGTCGGTAAGTGAAAGTGAAGGAGACTTGCCTGGGGATGAGGCTAGGGGACGACGTTGCGCGGGATTGCAGCCAGGGCGGCCTCGGCTTCAGCCCCAGCCTGGAATCGTACCGGCCTGGCCGGCTGGGCCTTGACCTTCGTAAGGCTCGGCGTGGGAACCTTCTGCGGTTCCGGAGGGAGTTGGCAGGCTGGCCCTCTTGGGTTCACGTCAGCCCCTCCTGCTATGTGTGGGCCGCTGCGATCACTGGGTGAACACAAAATAAGGATCAAAAGATTCTCTGGAAGACGAAGAGTCACGTTTGTGTTTGGGCTCAACAGAGCTAAAGCACGAATTGGGAAATGGAGCAGGAAGCGTGAATGTAATAGGCAAATGGGGCTCATGGTTTTATCTGTACAACGATGGGTATTTGAAAAACAGATCAAGATCGAACTGTAAAACGTGTGGTAGGGCGGAAATCCTGAAGGAGTTTGCATTCTTTTTAAGAATGAAAGGCTGTCCAGGAAGTGGAAGAAACAGTGGGCTTAAAGCATAAGTTTTTTTTTTCCTCTCCTCCTTTTTTAAATCATAATGTTAGTGGGAATTCAGGATGTAGCTCGGAATATTCAAATAGTGCTTTGTCGGGATACCTGTTGAAAGTCATTACAATGGTCAAGGCAGGACAGGGGACTTGTAATGGGGGGTAGTAATAGGCAATTTGAAGATTACGTTTTCTAATTTAAGATAAAAAGTGTACTCTTTGTGTCACTGTACCCATTACTGGTATTTAAAAATTATGTACCATATGATGACACAAATGCATTATGACATTTTGGATTTATAGGGGGTGATTTGGGGACAGATTCACTCCTAACACCCAAAGTAGAGTTTAGGTCTTCATTTTTCCTAATGTATGTTGGGACGTGGGTGACTCTTGACGTTAATAACGTAAAAAAGCGTTGCGTATGCTGTATCAATGCTTGTGCTCTGTTTTGCATAGATTTTGACCATGGCTGCTGAGTCTGATGTTCTACACTTCCAGTTTGAACAGCAAGGAGATGTGGTCTTACAGAAAATGAATCTCTTGAGACAGCAGAATTTATTTTGTGATGTATCAATTTATATTAATGATACGGAGTTCCAGGGTCACAAGGTGATTTTGGCTGCTTGTTCCACTTTCATGAGAGATCAGTTTTTGCTAACACAGTCAAAGCATGTCAGAATCACCATTCTGCAGAGTGCAGAAGTTGGCAGAAAGTTGTTGCTGTCCTGCTATACTGGAGCACTTGAAGTGAAAAGGAAAGAGCTTCTGAAATACCTGACTGCTGCCAGTTATCTCCAGATGGTTCACATTGTAGAAAAATGCACAGAAGCTTTGTCCAAGTATCTGGAAATTGATCTTTCTATGAAAAATAACCAACACACTGACTTGTGTCAATCTTCGGATACAGATGTTAAGAATGAAGAGGAAAACTCTGATAAAGACTGTGAGATAATTGAAATTTCAGAAGATAGTCCCGTAAACCTAGATTTCCATGTTAAAGAAGAGGAAAGCAACACATTACAGTCTGCTGTGGAGAGGCTGACATCAGAACAGAGGGAAATGAAGTCTCCAGAGCTCTGTACAGTAGATAGTGGTTTTAAAGAGAATGAAATTTGTATCCTCCATGTAGAGTCGATCAGTACAGATAGTGTAGAGAATGGGCAGTTTTCACAGCCTTGTACATCATCCAAAGCAAGCATGTATTTCCCTGAAACACAGCATTCATTGATCAATTCTACAGTTGAGAGCAGAGTGGCAGAAGTTCCCGGAAACCAAAATCAAGGGTTATTTTGTGAGAATACTGATGGAAGCCATGGTACCGTAAATGAGATCCAGAATCTAGATGAGAATTTTTCATTGAGGCATCAGTGCCCCAGGTGCCCAAGGGGCTTTCTTCATGTAGAAAACTATCTGCGTCACCTTAAGATGCATAAACTGTTTTTGTGCTTGCAGTGTGGGAAAACATTTACACAGAAGAAAAATCTCAACCGGCATATTCGAGGACACATGGGTATACGACCCTTTCAGTGTACTGTGTGCTTGAAGACCTTTACTGCTAAAAGCACACTTCAGGACCACTTGAACATACACAGTGGGGACCGACCATATAAATGCCATTGTTGCGATATGGATTTCAAACACAAATCTGCTCTCAAAAAGCACTTAACCTCTGTTCATGGCAGAAGCAGTGGTGAAAAACTATCTAGGCCTGATCTCAAACGGCAGAGTCTATTGTAATCAAATCATGAACTTGCGATGAAAGCAAGTTTTTAAAAATGCAACATTGGTGGTGTTATATTTCTCCATCCACCCCAATCTTTAGCTTTTGTTTTTGTTTTTCCTACCTATTATTCATTCTGAATTTCTAATAGTTCCAAAGTTGTGAGTGGAGTGATTAAATTTATGGTATTCTGTGTTTTCTCACACATTAGTTTTAATCCTCTGTTCAGCAGGAACTGCAGATTCTGATCTGTTGTTTTTAGATTAGTGATTTAATGTTAAATTATATAGTAACTTTAATAAGTTCAAATGATAAAATAGATTTGAAAGCATAGTGTTTCAAAATTAATTACTATTAATTTTGAAAGCAGGACTAACAGTTTAGTTTTTAATGTTTAACTAGTGTAATTGGATTATAGCTAGAACACCCAAGTATTGTTTTAAAAGAGTACAATCTATATTCACATGGGACCAGCAGATTTCCTTAGAGTTGCATTATTTAAATATCCAAGAGAATATGTAATTGGATCCTATTCCTGATTACATATTATATAGTTGAATTAAGAACTCAGTGACCAATGCACGTATTTTCTTGGCTTAGATTGGAAAATTATTTTTTCTAAATATTTCAGTTTTATTAAAGATACCTACTGTTTACTTAGGGATTTTTGTTTTGTTTGCTTTGGTTAACATGCACTAAAATTGACCTTTCTCTGAGGAGTTTTCTGTGAATTTAATACATGTAATAATTTTCTGCAGTTGGGACACAGAACAGTTCCATCACCTTCCAGAGTGCCCTTATGCTGCTCCAATAGAATTTACTCTTCCAACTCTAAATTCTAGGAAGAGTTCTTCATCACTATAATTTGTTAAAATGTGGGGTAATACAAAACTGGAATCTTCTAGTATGTTACTTTTTGATTTTTTTTTATACAATGTAATGCCTTTGAGCTTCATTTCTGTATATTAACAAGTCTTTTTTTTTTTTTAAATCTCTCTTACTTTACTTTTAACTTGATTTGTATAGCCCAGGCTGACCTCGAAGTTGCCTAACTTCTTGAACACTGGGATGTGCCTGGCCCCTTTTCTGTGTTGAATTGCCTGTATATACATTTTCTTTTCAAGCAGTCACCAGGTGAATAGTTTAAATTTAAAAAGCTACTATAATTAGTTTTAGTATCTCATGTATATGAATACCTCTAAATCCAAAACTTTATTTGCCCTTACAATGAAGAGCAAAATTTACTGCAGGGCAAATCACTTTTCCTGACTGTAGAAAGCTTTGACTTTCAAGCCGTCTTATTTCTCTACATAACTCAGCTCTGTGTAGAGTTTCTACTGTGTTTAAGTTCTGTTGACACAGTTTGGTATTTTAACATGTAATATACTTTGTACTATAAAAGAGTTGTGAAAAATCTATAAGTGTTAAATATAATTTTTGTGACACTTTCATGGGAGTAATGATCTCTATAGAATTTTAACTCTGGGGGAGACTTTAAAGAATCTAGGTCTCACAATTAACTTCATAACCCAGGTCACTAATTAATGACATTGACCAG